CAAATCGATCTCCAAAGTGGGGCACAAATGGTTCAGAAATGCACGACAGACCACAGGGGGTGGGAATCTTAAAATCTAATCCTACAGTAGGATATGGGAAGCATACCATGATCATCGATTATCACCGCCGAAATCAACGTAGCGGTAATTCATAAGGCTGGTTTTTTGAACTATAAGTATTTTAGGAGCTGCTGGCCCTAATTTAAACCCAGCGTTTCTGGGCTTGTGAAACTTCATTCCCTCTTTGTGCTCTCCAGGTGCAAGTAGCTGCACAGGTTTAAATAGTCAGACCACCAGGTTTGATACTCAAATAAAGTTTAATATAACAGAAGACGGTTGTCTGAAGGCTGTGAATCGTGAAGCAACGCTGATGAAAAAAATCTTCCCACCACTACATTAGAAGGAATGACTTTCACGTCTGAATCGAAACAAAGACACTCTATGACAGGGTTTTGGGGCCACCTAATCACTGAGAGTTACCCGAATGAGATGAGTATTTGAGTGAACAGGGGAAGTTCCACCAAAAATGGTGGTTATCTGTGTTATGCATTTTCAACTGGGGAGTTTTTGTCATCTGATCGACAGACTTTTTCCAAAAGAGGTTTCATCCTGTAAGTCGAGCGAATCCATACCGAAAAGCCTGGAGGCACTGTACAGCTGCTCCATCCTTATTGTTTGCACGACTAGCTAAGTAGCCAGTGTAGAAGACAGTCTATACAGCGTTGCATTAATCCCAAGGTTGAAGGATGAGTGGTGCTACCCCTTGTCTCTCATTTTACTGTGGCCAAACGGCTAGGTGTCCAGACCAGTACCCGGGTTCAAAACTGTCTGCAGTTTCGTAAGGTTTGGACTGCTGATAATTTTACAACAGGGATGAAACAGTTGTACGGTAATCTTGGCTTTTTAGCACAACAGGGCTTCACTTATACGATAACATCTCCGATGAAAGATTCCCAAGTCTCTGTCCATGATGAGCAAGAGCACTGACTTTGTCCATGTTGTGAATTGTCAGCCATAACTACCGTTTAGCCTAATCCAGGAGCACGTAGTTGGTCTCCTCCCCCTTTACATAAAAGTTAGATCACAACAGCCGCACAGGCCGTTTGGTTTCCCAAGTCATTCGTCCCACAAACTGGAAAGACATATCACGATTACACTTCCGAGTTGCATGGATAACATGTCCAATTAGAAATTGGCCAAATGCGTCCACGCTTGTTAGAGATTCTATGCCTAACTATGGTAAACCTAAAACGGTCAAAACTGTATCCATGGTTGTTTGATCCATTAGGCTGTCCTCCCGTGCAACATTTCGCGTTACATTCTTACCGGATACACTAAGTTCTGGTGCGTGAACACTCGATAGAAGGTATTCGACTCTGGGAAGCAAACACCCAAATTCGTCATTTCGAATTTCGAATCCCTATTTTTGAATGCATCATAAGATCCTGATGGAATGCGGAGCGTTGTAAATTAAAGAAATGACAGTGGTAAAACCATTCATGTAGATCGTGATATGCGGAACATCATACAGTATGTTATCCATCCGTTGGAAGATGTCTGGAGCGTATTTTACACTAAAGTGGTGTTCTTCCGTTGAGTTTGATAAATAAATCATTGGAAATCCACAGACATCCTGGTGACTCTCGACACCTATTCTACCTATTCTGCCCACTGTCTTTCGAAAGCTACGATTGTCACTGTTCATGTCGAATAGCTGGTACGCTCAATAGTCTGGCCAATTGGGCCGCAGGTGGCCGATGGAGCAGGGAGTAAGGCAATGCCGTCTCACTTCTGATGTGGTTACACGCATAAGATGCCTATTGAACAGCACCAGGGGTCTTTGATTTTAAAAGTATTTCGGCCGTATTGAATAATGTGCCGCCGGTCATAGTCAAGCGTTGAGCGATCGATTTTTTGGCTGCTCTCCATTGGCCCTCCTAGCATGATTGAACCTCGAGGAATTGCGTTCCAAACAGTCTGGCCCGCAGCATCATTGTGGCTCTGAAGCCCGACCACCATGACAAGGTGACAGCTTTAGGTCGAGACGAGATTATTGCCTTTCTCGGTATCTGTTCTGAACACAGGTTTGCCATCAACGAGAACGAAGTTAGAAGAAACATACAAAATACCAGTAACCAAATTTTTATCAGGATGCAGGAGGTCGTGATGGGCGTTCAATACTCTGGAGTGGATGATATACCGATATCACGTTCCTTGTTGCTGCTCCCACTGTAGTGACATCCATGAACCTGTGTCCCGAATGGAGAATTTCAGAATCTTACCCGAGGGCATAGACAACGGAAACATTTTAGACAGGAGATTTTAGCGCACAAGCCAACTTCACCATTAGTCTCATATTGGTGTCCAAACCGCTGGCAAAGTTAAGGCCAGTGATGAAAATGAGCGACTTGAACTAACTGCTGGTGAGATGGTAAAGCTGCAACCTTCCATTATCATGGTTCACCCAGCCCGTATGCGCCACTATACCCCTCTCGTGCTGCTTTCTGAGTTTCGAACAGTGAAACCGGATATTGTGTAGTGAATTCCATTCACCAAAAATCAAGATAAGATTGGATACGGTATACGTGGTCACAGTCTATCGGATTCTTCGGTAGCACCTAGTTGCAGTGCCGCGTGTATTCCTCTATCCTCGGCTCTTTGATTAGCGACAGCAATCCGGCTAGTCCGGTTAGATGTTCCCTACCAACAAAAAACATCCACTACATAAACTTGAAACCGTTTTCTGGATCATGGTGGAATTCTTGGATCTCAGCCATCACTATTTCCATTAGATGCGCTCAGATTTCGTCTCTGAAGTGTTTGGAGCAGATGACGTCAATTTTGCAATAATTACTTCCAATAATTTGGTTTCTTCTCGCTTCCTCGTCTCCCTTTGCTGCCAATGTAGCAATCGTTCTTACTCAGTACCCAGATGAACGAGAAGCTATACGAACAACGAGGCACTTAAGCGTGTGACTAAGTAAACATGTACCAAGCAAATGCAGGCAAAAAGGTTCCAACATGTAGTTATGCAGATGTATTGAAAAGATATCAAACAGTGGAAAAGGAAATCGATCATCTAATGCGAATATACACTAACTAATCACGACAATAAAGTATTATCGAACAGAAATTGCTTAAGGCAACTGTCAGCCCGCATGTGTGCGTACATGACTAGTCTGTTAGATTTGTAGCATTTGAGTACTTGAAATCAACCCAGGATGGTCCAAGTAAAGTTACTTTTGGTGGATTTCTGATGAGTAGATAATGATTTTTTTAACTTCGGGGAGTTCCATGGATTCTCGCGGAAAATTGAATTTGACGGATGAAACCACGGGAGCTGAACTCTTGCTATCGGAATCATGGATTTTAGGAGTTTCTGAGAAAACCTGAGCGATGTACACACACGCATCTTATGTTGCGCGTACTTCTACGCTGTTTTTTATTACGTTTATACTGTTGCGCAAGGCGAGTCAAAATTGTCCTTCGTTTGGATCGATCAAAGCTGAGTATCAACAACCATTGAGGTAAGCAATATCATGCTGACATTTTGGTAATAGCGAATATGTGAGTGAAGGAAACAGTATGATGAGTTCTTGTTTCGTAATATTCTTTTGCTGGGTCTTACTGAAATCCTCACTGTGCTCATCCTCAAATTCGACACAGAATTGCACATCATAACAATGGAAAATTAGGGGATTAGCGAGATTTCAGTCAGGTTGGAAATGTTTGGGAACGACGAAAATCCGTCGTTTCAAAATTCTCAGTAGACAATCGATTGACGTATAGTTGACCAACGTTTGTTCTTGGAAAAAGCTTCGTCAGGAGGACCACTTAGTGAATTCCCTTCCAACAAATTGCATCCTCACTATTTAAATTTAGTCAAAGCTTCGTGTTGGGTTTGGGGGTCGTAAGTGACAGCAAGCTGAATCGAGTTTGGTGTTGTACTCTTCCAGTTTAGAGCGTTTTAGCTGTGTATTTCCTTGAGTGTATGTAGTTCGTCCATCATGTTTATCGGTATCCGGTTCCTTCATGCCAGGACAGTTGAGCTGGGTGATAGGGAGAACAGACGGATTTTAGTCGTTTTGGATTTTATAGCTAAGGCCATGCCTACTACTTTGATAACTGCAAACCGTCACGCATCAACTCGGCTAATTTAAAACGTCAGTCATTTCCACACCGTCTATTCTGTTCACTTCGGGTTGGTTGACGATTTCCACCGTTGTTGCCTGAACCGTGATCCTCGCATTTTCCAGATTTACTTTATATTCAGTGTCCAATCGGTACCCCGTTCATTCTTGGATCTTCACTTATGACCTGATATTAGTAGTCGTTTCTCGATGTTTTATTGATGCAGTGCTTGTGCCCACCGATTACAGTGTGCAGCTCCTTGACAGTTTGTCCTAAATGAGTGTTCGTGCACTCTTCGCGTTGTATTTTGTGTGCACAGTACCCAGTCCTATCGATCGCGAGGCAACCCTCCAGTTGTAACAATACTGAGTTTAAACTTTTTTCCTTTCTGGAATGCTGCTTTCATGCTGGCCATAGTCATCCAACTTACTTTAGATGCCAGTGTTCCTCTTATTGTTCGGAGTCACCTATTGTTTTGTCTTCGTTAAATGCCGCCTAGTTAAACAAAGTGGACATCCGCTTTCTTATGGTATTTTTGGCTTTCATTTGCACGACTGTTCGACCGGCCACATCTGTCTACACACTCTTACTAGACTAGATATTGCTGAAACCATGCAAACGTATACTGACTTTGGGTGAGCCTATGAGTATTTTGAGATGGCAGCTGTGTCCGTCACTTTCCAGTCAATAGTAGCTTTCCGTATCCCGTCGCAGTCTACGAAGTACAGCATACCGGAAGTGGACCTCAGCTTCATGCTGAACTTATCGTGGGTATTCAAGGTGTGATAGAATTCGGTATATGGTTGTCTATCGTGTAAATTAGTGCATGTCCGTGATATGGATGATGAATCTCTCTCCACTCTCCGCAGTTCGACCCGAATGTGTACTTGTCTAGTGATTTTGGAGTTTGCAAAGCCTCGGAGGTATTGTGTCTAGTAAGCGAAAAATCGCAATCTGGATGCATCTGTTTATTAGCTTGTGGCCAGCCATCACAAGGAATTGCTAAAAAGAGCCAAGGATATCGACCAGTTACGCGATATACTGCAAACCAGGGAGTCGAAAATCACCAATGTGTCTCTCAGTCATTGATCAAACTGCAGCACAAAGTCACCGCCCCCCTTTACAGCTCTTCAAACGCAAATCGAACAACTTCGTCGACTTCAAAGCAGTTGTGACTTGCTTCGGAAAATTTCCCGAGCCGCCCTTCGCACCAAACGCATTCAGTCCAGACTGATGGATCTATCCAAGTCCTCCGTCTATGTGAAGGAACTGGAGCACTGTTCTCGAGTGTCCATTTGGAGGTTATTCGCACACTCGAGTCATAGAAAAGGTTCATTCAGCAAGTCGAGATGACATGATTTCCTTAGCGTGGAATCTCATCCGTACTTCTCATCAGTTGGCAGGTCAGCTTCAGTCGGGTTTAGAATTACAGGTTTTCGCAATCTGAGTATGCTCCCTAGCGTTGGATGCCAGTTGGTTGAGCGGTGGCAAGCAGGGTTCGTATCGATTCTGGCTTCAGCCGTGGACATGGATAGGCTCACTCAGTTGCAACGTAGTGGGCAAGCCGGAAGAGCCGGTGGCACCATGGCAGCCGGACAGGGTCGAGCCTCTCTCCTGAACTTTGGTAGTCAGGTCGCTGCATTCTACTTTGTCATTTGGACCATCCTGGATGAAATAATGGACAAGTTGGAGCGCCTCACCTATCACTGTCGCTTATTGGGAGTAACCTTTTTGAAAAAAAAACGCGAGTCTAGCGCTAGCTACTCCACGATTGCTTGGTTGAGTGAATCGATTGAACCTCACCTTGGTTTGGCAGAGTTCCTGATTCACAAGCTGATGACAAGATAGCACAAGATTACGACGAACTTGTCATCTAAGGAACGCCCAATACCGTCGGTGGACAATCGAGTCCGGCCTTAGCTTTCTGTATACATACATATACATACATATATATCTATATAAACTGCGAAATTTGATTGTACACAATAACTTACTCCCGCCAAGGCGTTTGCGATTGAGTCAGCTCCAATCGCACCAGTATTCGGAATTCAACTTCGCAAATCCTCCTTAGATAATGACCGAAACAACGGGGACTAGAAAGCACACTTAGTTTACACTAGTTATATTTTCCAAATCAAGTCGTTGAATGAACATCGAATGAATCCAGTATGTTTTCCTGCATTCTAAAGGGTGCATCCTCAAATAAGGATGAGACGTAATGATTGCCTACATAAATTCGGCCGAATTAATTGGTAATAAATGAAACGGGTCAACAGTTGAACTGATAATAAGAGAAGCGTTTCCAAACTTCGATGGGGCAGTTAGACGATACACCTTTCTAGCAGAAAATGGTAAGCGAACCCGGCGTGTCTCAAACTTAGTGTGGAGCGTATCCACACTTAACGCTGAAGCAGACTGGGTCCCGTTTCCCCCTTGGAATCTCCGCAGTTGTTAACTGCCCTGTGATATTTTGTGAGAACTGCCCTCGAAACATATTCAAAATAGGACATTTAAAGCCACGACAATGTCGACTGATTTTCAGTGTTCCCGCTTATTGTCCAACAGAGGCAGAAGCATACAGCATGTGATTTTCTATCCAAGACTAGTTCCGAAGCCAGTAACTCCACTAACTTAGGCATTATCTTCCTTAATTACCGAAAATCTGCGACAAACACAGTGTCAATTTCCTGTTCACGCCATCCATTCCATCTTCCTGTTTCATCGCACAAATCCGATATGCACCCGCGATCCATCATGACTCGAGGTGTATCGAACCAGTCGTTTTGGACCCAACTGAATCCCAGCTCTCTCGTTTTATTTTCTATCCAAGACTAGTTCCGAAGCCAGTAACTCCACTAACTTAGGCATTATCTTCCTTAATTACCGAAAATCTGCGACAAACACAGTGTCAATTTCCTGTTCACGCCATCCATTCCATCTTCCTGTTTCATCGCACAAATCCGATATGCACCCGCGATCCATCATGACTCGAGGTGTATCGAACCAGTCGTTTTGGACCCAACTGAATCCCAGCTGAATCTCTCGTTTTTGGTATTCTGTAACTGAATGTGCTGTGCAAAGTGGCCTCTTGTTTCACTTGGTACGTTATTTGAGATATTGCGGCATATGTTCCAGAAGGAAAATCCTCAATTTTGCTGAAAATTCCACAGCTGCTGCTCACAGCTAGTTTCGCCCTTCTTGATGCTTACCATAAACTAGCAATTCAGCTGGGATTCACTTGAGTCTTTACAGAAAAATTAGAAACTGCAATTTGATGTTTTTGTTAATAAACATGATGAAATTATGTGATCTCTACCGCAAGCACGCTAAACTGCACGGCTTGAAGAGTTACTGCTTATCAGGTCGTAAAATGTGAGGATTGACTGTGGACCAATAGTCAAATTGCCTACTAGCTGGAACAAAATGCATTTCAAGGATGTGATAGGTTCTCAGGCAGGTCAATCACACGAAGCCATTCTTTACCAACTGGTCTCATCCCACCTATTACGTGACGGATTACCATTAGCAGGTCGTTGATCTCAAGAACACGAGACTGTCAATCACATTCGTGTAACTAGTGAATTTGATTTGAAAGCAATACTTCTTCCTAACCAACTATTGACCCACTCCTAAGGCCGCCCACCAGATTCCAGCCTCCACTCGAGGAACGTTTTGCTCGGTCCTCTCTAAACTGAGTGAGAACTGCGAGAGCTCCTCGCGTATCTAAGTTACTTAGGGAACCGACCACATTACTTTGGTTAACAGCGCGCTCGTACAACAAACGTTGACTAACAGTCTTGCCTCTTCTTAGCTGTAAGACCAGTTTACTCCATGACAGGGTCCATGGAGGTCATAGTGTCTGTTATACACAGGTATGTGAGCTGATGCGCATGTTAACTGCTTATATTCTCAGGAAAATTAATTGCACGCTCTGATGGAGTCTGAATTCGCACCTGATGGTTCTACTTATTTGACTATTTCATTGTAAGTTTCCTGCAACCTTATGCTTGTGAATAAGGGGCTTTAAGATGCATCAAAACATATCCGTTATAGATTTCCGTCGGTCGTCATAGCACATGTTCTTGTGTGCTTTCAAGCAGTGTTGCCAAATACGGTCTACCACTTCTTGTATCATCGTAGACGGTTAATGACTAGAAAACGTCTGCAGTAAAAGTGTATCCACACGTTTTCGAAGCGTAGAAACTCCGGGAACACCCCGGTTCCTATGCTCAACTCTGAAACCCTCAATCTGAAAAAGTCCAGAAAAACCGCCAACGAATGGCATAGCCAAGTCTTTTCATAGGAGCAGCAGTGGTGAACATTGTTGCAGTGTGCGCTACGGGGAATTCTGATTCGGAAAGAAGGTATCAATAACTAGTCTTACCACTACTAGTTGAATGGACTAAAGTTACTTTTTCTACGGAGCATCAGACTATGCAGATATGTCTATTATACCACGCTCTACTACTGAATGCAAGACCTCGTGAGTCTCTAACGGTTATTGCATGTCTGTTCTTGATGTTCACAGACTGATTCAACTTGGACAGAATTCCCGTTCAGAAACATTGGCAACAAATATACAACTTCCTACGAATCACCGGGCCACGATCCTGTGTCATTCCCAAGTGGGAACCAAAACGCACCACTAAAGCACTTCCTGTATTGCAAACTCGATATATCTGAGGGCATATATATTATACATAAATGAATGTGGAAAGCAATCAATCAAGTCAATGGGAGATTCATTTGCCATAGGGACTCGTTAAATCATAAACAAATACCAGGCGTGTTGACGTACTGCTGAGTATTTGTGACAAAAATATAGCGCCTCTGAAGTGGTATACTGCATCATGACGTTTTCTGCCTTTAGAATATTCTACATACCCCTGAAAACTATTGGATGAAGCACAGTTACTTGATTCAACACCTTGCCTTGTACAGCAGTTTACCTAGTGACGCTCAGCGCCCTGATGTAAGAAAACTAGGCTGTTGCTCACCTTTACGCCAACATACCTAAGCCAGCTGGAGGCTAGCAACAGGCCTCTACGTGTTTGCCGGCGAGTTCACATCGGCATCAGTGGCTTACACGCGTTACCGCATTCGGCTCCACACAAACCCAGTGAACTAGCAGAATGTTATCATGCCGACCAGATGCCTCTACTTCGCCGGAAGCACTTGGTCACAAAGAGACCAACAGCTTACACCGACGATAAGCAGGCGCCAATTGATGTATCCACGTATACGGATAGGCACAAAAGCAGTTCGTTAAGCCAATTGATTGGCTAGGCTTAACTTGTAGTTGACTTATTTTTTACCATAAACACTTTGCAGGGCCCGCCAACCGCGCCTCCATAGCTCAGTGGATAGAGCACTGGTCTAGTAAACCAGGGGTCGGGAGTTCGATCCTCCCTGGAGGCACCGCGCTTTTGGGCGATCAACTGCAACTGCTACCGATTAACCGATGATATCTTTCAGTGGTGGTTGTTACAGCGGGGTACACTACGTCGGGTCGTTGGGGTACTCGGTTTCAGGAAAATTTGGGATGCCATCGCTTCTATAGACTTTCCAACTGAGTAGACGGGCATCTTCGTAAAGCACTGGGTTCACCAACATCGGCAAAGTTTTTAAGGCTTTCTCATTTCGCCTTTACTCCGTTGCCTCTTATGTGCAATTATGAGTGCATTTCAAATTCACCGTGTCTAGTGTTGCTCTCAAAGGAACTGTAAAATAGCCAAACATCTGTACTCTTTTTTAATTGGTGTGAAAACCACTGCTGACTTCGCCTTTCTAATGCTGAAATGGATTTACTGAGAAGCAAATCCAAACATTTCAGAATTTCTTCCCAGGACAGCAAAGCCACTTTTCCCAATGAGTCCTGTTCAAATAAGCCTGGATTATGCTTCCATTCGGTTGATATTTCTTCTGAAGTTGCTTCATAAGAAATCGAATTTCAAGCATACTACTAGGCAAAATACGAGTAGTGTCCACATTTTCGGTATTGGTTTCTGAATATGTGGATTGTCGTCTGTTTACTGAACCCGGCAATCATCTTCCAAACGTACCCAGCATTGATGATGTCTCTCTGTTCAGTACTAAACAGGCAATGATGTTTACAAATCCATTGCTAAGCTAGACGAACATCCTTTCAACTATCAAAACTGTGAGTAGCTTGCTCACAAAATTCCTGAAAACTCTTCGAAAGTCCGCGACCAAGTAAGCCCAACTGACCGATCAAATAAAACGGACGATCTCATAGTGAAGGGTTGCACTGACTGGTTGAGCAGTTTACATTCAACGAGGAAGCCTGTATATTCGTATCAGGCCAAGACCGACACATCTGATTCATTCCAGGACCTCCAGTCCAATGTGTAACTTATGGTCAGTATCCAGACGGATAACCCAAAGTTGACGACATCTGATATTAGGTAGCGAACATTATTCCTGTTGACATGGGGTCCCGCACTTCTGCCAAAATGAGTCCCCGTGAACCGTAATCAAGAAGTAAAAAGAGATTCGCTCGAATGATCGACGTTTCAATTTCCATTTTATTGAAAGGCTATTCCATCCATTCGTCAGAATTAAATTTTACACACCTGGAACATCAATATCGAGGTTGCGACATGTTTTTCCGAAACGAAACTGAATTCGGATGCGTTTATATCTATTTATCGAAAGTAAGATCGGTCTCATTTGTTGACGGACCACATTACCCATTTTAGAACTGGGGCCGAAGTAAGTCAAGACCTCTCTATCCGTGTTCTTATGAAATACAACACTATTTTGCCTATCCACTACAAACTGGATTCACTAAACATGAACTACCGTAATGAAGCAAAGTCCTTGGGTATTGGAGCGTCCCCAGTTGTTAGCGGAAAATCGATCGTTTGCCCCACCTTTTACCTTGCGGGCTCATATATAATGAGTTCCGTTCCGGCTTATTCTTATCTTTGTCAGGAACACCCTATCTTTTATGAAGGTCTCAGCTTGAGTAAATTGTGAGACACGTCCGCAGTCCATAAAAGGTGACATCGTAACGAAGTTAGAAATGTGACCATATATTGATTTCAGGTGAGTTGAAGCTAGTTATCATATGATGTGCACATCACTCATCAATGAGGCAACTCTCCTTCTCCTACTTATCGCCTAGTTACACACTTGCACGCCATTTTCTTAGTCAGCTAAAAGCAATGACGTAGTTGAAGCCTCTTCTTACCACAAACTTGTTTCACATTCACTTAACACGTCTGGACTTGTAATTTCAAGCTCCGAACTTCGTTCAGCCAATCTAATTATCCTCGTGTTTGAGAACTGCACATCTCAACTAGCTATGAACCAGAAAGTTCACGATGCCATTAGAGCATAGATAAATGTTCATACGGAGGACTAGGTACTAAAATTAAGTTTCGCGCAGGACTACCATTCAATTAACAAGAAATTGATTTGCCATTCCTGTTTGTACTCTCACATCCTGCCTCATTTTCATGGACGTCGTTACCCCCTTAAAGATGTGAATCCAACGGCAACTACAGGTACCATTGGATGCATACACGTGACTCCGATAAGTAGATTATCGCAATAACCTTTCCCTCATCGTCCAAATTCGCTCACATAAACTTCTGCGTCGTGGATTTGTTCAAATACAGAAGNGTTTGAGAACTGCACATCTCAACTAGCTATGAACCAGAAAGTTCACGATGCCATTAGAGCATAGATAAATGTTCATACGGAGGACTAGGTACTAAAATTAAGTTTCGCGCAGGACTACCATTCAATTAACAAGAAATTGATTTGCCATTCCTGTTTGTACTCTCACATCCTGCCTCATTTTCATGGACGTCGTTACCCCCTTAAAGATGTGAATCCAACGGCAACTACAGGTACCATTGGATGCATACACGTGACTCCGATAAGTAGATTATCGCAATAACCTTTCCCTCATCGTCCAAATTCGCTCACATAAACTTCTGCGTCGTGTATTTGTTCAAATACAGAAGACCAGTAGTATTGTTCAAATTCAGTTGCCTTCCATTGATAGTGTTAATCGGTCGGTCTCACAGTCAGTATCTGGCTTACTTTCGTTTCTATCCATCACACATATTAATTTCCAATTACATTATATAAACCTTCCACTGTCCTTGATTAGATTCCCTCGATGACAACTTTTCTAGCAATGCCTCCTTCAGGCGCTAATATATCATAGATCCCGTTACATGTGCCCCGTTGGATGGACAGATTCATGGAAATTTCTCAAATTTCTCTCTTGAATTAATTAATAATAATTGATAATAATTAATCAATTACTTTTCAATAACTACACTCACGCACGTGGTTCGTTATCAAAATTCATTTTGTCAGCGCCAATCCACTAATCTGTCATTAGACGTATCAAGAACATGATCGGTTTGCTTTGTTGCGTTTGCGTTGTTTCGGATTTTTTTGCCACCTTACTAATTCAAGGTATCTGAAGGGGGAAGTGGTTCCATTTAGTGTCCGTTACNCATTACACGTGGCTTTCCCTACCTAGGACAACTGATCCTACCCCTTATCTAATGAGGCATGTTTTTTCCTCAATCGCCAATTATAAACCTAACTTGATTTCAACAGGCTTCGCGGAACGATGTGGTATTCTGTACTTCTTCAATTTTTTCCTATCTCTGGACTGTTCCGTTCGCGGTAACAAAGGAGGAAAGCGCTTCCGGAGTGTGGTGTTCAATGCCGATTTCACAAGTAACAGCTGGACTTTATGATGTGTGTGACAGATAACAGTTCCACAATTTGCAAGAACTGTCACAGGATTTTTCAGAAGTTCTATTTTCGCCAGCGTTTAGTGTTTACAATTCAGTCAGTCGATCTAGAAGCCAACTAGTAAATT